AACGCCTGTAATGTTGTTCTTTAAAAAATCACCACCAAATAAAGAGACAGAGAAGCATTTCTTTTATTGGCTAAGACAGTTTATGCTTGGTTTAAATAGATAGCTCTAAGCAAAATTAAACAGCTATTGTTTTGAAGGCCTTATTTTTGGCCATCAGTAGAACTAAGTAGCAGTCTTTCTGTTAGTTCACTGCAGAACTAACTAAATGCATCTCACCATTGGAAGATCGGTCCATTGCTCCTAGAGAATGTTTTTGTTTCTCCAGGTACATTTTGCTATGTGTGCTCTTCGTAAATCCTTTCCTTGGTTTGTTTTTATATTAGCAGCAGTCGTCTTTACTGGATTGCTATGACATTTTTTCAGTACCTTGTTATATCATGAACCATATAGCAAACCTATTAATGAATGTTCAGTCCTAGTGCCTGTGTTTTGAAGGTGTTTTTTTCCAGATCATTAGGAAGTGTAAGCTTTGAGACCATTTAGGACTGCTGTAAACTGGAGTCCCCTGGTGATATTAGTAAAACTGCTTTTCCTCTGGATGCATCCCAAAAATGTCCAGCTCCTGCCATACAAGAGTTAAGAGAAATTCCTAACACTTGTCTTAGTAAATCATTTGTTTCAAAATTCTTATCCAAGAGAGAGATCCTCATTATTACATTGCTATGCATTATTTCCCATTTATTGTGGGTGGGAATACTATTCTGAGCTTGTGGGAAGTGTTTGATTTGCTGTGTGCCATCCCATGGGACAAATGTACAGACTGCCCCTGTAAGCAATTACCAAAGCTGACAAAAGTTTGTGATTCTGTTCAGCATGGGATCTATATCTGTGAGCTTCTGTATTTGTAAGTAGTACCATCACGATCGCTATGAATTGGAGATTATTACAGAGCTGATAATGCAACAAGAAACACAGAATTACAAACAATATGTGGACTGTACAATGAGCTTGCAAAGTGTCTTTATTCTAGATAGAATTGAAAAGAAAACCTGTATGTGGCTGTTCAAAATGAGTTTCAACCTGGAATGTCTGCACTTCTTTCATGGCTGTGAAGCCTGTAGTTTAAAAATAAGTAGTTTCCAGAAAAGAGGATTTCAACCATACTGTTGCCAGGTGTGGTTTTATAGAGCAAGCTTTAAATTAGACTGTCAGCCATTTTCTAATTAGGAAGGGAGCCTTCAAGAGAGCCAGAAGTATTTAAAAAGATGGAACATACATTTGCTACATCAACATAATGTTTAGTGACACTGCTTTGTGCTGCTGACAGTTCCATTTTTTCCAAATACAGTATAAAAATAGCGGTCAGTCAGTTCTGAAATAAACAATAACACTTCACAAATGTTAAGAATGTTAACACGAGTGCCCCAGCTAAAATTCAGTTAAGGTAGTGACATTTGGGTTGGACATGGTGCTTGTTCCTCTTGCTGCTAGAGTTAGTGGGAGATTTGATATTTATTTCACAGATAGGAGAGGCTAAATCTGTCATTTTTTTCCCCTCAGGGAAAATGCCAGGTTTTTAATCAAGCAAATTATAGGGATGACATTAAATTCTGTAACTGCCACAGCCCTCCGTACACATGAAATTTTATCCCTTCTTTAAGCAGATTCTATTTTTAAACTGTTATAAATCAAATTTGTTGCAAGCCAGTTATAAATTAATTTGGATGTACCCACTTGGGAGTTTATCCAGATTGAAATAAATAAATTCTGCTTCTGTTGTCGAACAATAACATCTTTCGTGATGGAGACCTGTTCTTGTATTTGTGGTTAATATCATCCAAGCAGCACTTTATGAGACAAGAAAAATGTTTCTGTTCCTATCTGGGGAAAGAACCAGAGACTTTTTAAGAAATATTTTTGTAATTTCCCATTAAAAAATTTCCCAAGATGTAAAGAGCAGGTATGTAGCATATTTAAAATACAAGAAAGGTCAGTGAAACAACTGAAGTTAGTATGGATCATGTAATGTAAGGGCATTTTTAATCTAGCTTTTTTTCTGATGTGGTAAGTGGTGGAGAGGTAGTTCTACTTTTTATGCTTTTTCCTCTCATTTAGTCATAAAACATAGTATGACAAGGACCTTTGTTAGTACTATAAACTGGCCCATAGACAAGTAATTGTAGTATTTACCTGATCTGGAATGTGTTCTGGGTTACCCTGTCAGAGTAGCATCATGTTCTTCCCGTTCAGTTCAGCTTTATCCCTGCTTTCTCCCATGCATTGCCTTCTTACTGGTTCCCAATTCCGCATCTGCTGAGATGCTTTCTCCAAAGGCTGGAGCAGACAGATCTGTCTGTGTGTACCAGGGCAGGATGCCTCAAAGGGTCCGTAAACTGCAGGTGGCTGGTAGAAACAGCCCTTCTGCTCTGCATAGCTCCTCGGCATGACCTGTCCCGGTACTGAGGTTTGGGCTTAAGTCTGGGGGTTTGTTTTTTATAATTCAAATATTCAATATTTCAAATACAGGAAACAGGAAATGTGAATGTATGCTGGATGGCATAATTCATTCTAGATGTGAAGGTAACTAAAATGTTGTACTATTTAAGCTCTCAACAGGATGCTGAAAAATAGAATTTTCTTTGTAGCTTGAAAATGTTCAAGCTTTATACTTTATTTATGATGAGAGCTAACCTGTTCATGGTTCTGTGGAAAGTTGGAAGGAAAGACTGTTTATGTCTGCTGATACCTCACTTTGCTGTTCTGCAGCTTACATTGCATTGTTGATGTAACATTTCCTGCTAAATTGACTTTATTGAAAGTAATGGGATGCTTGGTTCTTCCTTATGTAATTGAAAAAATTTGAAATATAGGTTTAAATAAGATTTTGTAATTTGTATACTGCCAATTAACTTGTTGGGAAAGGGCCTTGAAGATACAGTCTTTTTTCCAATCTTTCTGCTAAACGTATTAGACTAATACAGCTTAGACTATGATTCAGTCCTTAGTTCCTCCTATTTCCATTCTGAGAACAAGAGCCTCCGAAGAAAAACATCAGCGTCATGTATTCCTTAGAACAAACACATTTTTTTTAAGTGAGCCAAGACTGCAAAACATTGCTACAATAGCTGTGAAAGCTTTCTCATCCAAATCACAGCATGGGAGAGTCCATGCTATAGATTGACAAGCAGTCTTTATTGACCAGGACCAGCATAATTACTACATATGTGCTATCCTCAAACTCTTAACAGTTGCATACTAGTTAAATTTCTGTAATTAGCTGCCCTGCAGCCTACTAAACAAATGTAGTGATGTGTCTGTAATTAGTGATAAGAGATGAACTGAATTTGTAGCTCTATCATTGACTGTATAAAAAACTATTTGTAAAGTTACAACAGGGAGTCAGAATCATTAAGCCTGTTATGAATGCATCTGTCATTGACATTCACTTAAATATTTCTGAGCAAGCTAGTTTCATGCTAACTTTCTTTGTAGACAGATATTCATTTGGTCAGGATACTGCTGGAGGTTTTTATTTGGAGGTTATTGTCCTCTTTAGCAATGAGCTTTAGTTAAGTCAGCGTCCCATGTTCGCCAGGCTAAACACCTGTGAAGACCATTGCCTTGTTTCCTGGAGAGCTCTGTTTAAGTTCCTGTGATCATGAAATCAAGAGTTAATTTAACATGGAAAATATAATAGTGGTTTGAAAGAGGAAGTTCTTGTTGATCAGCTGTCATCTGTAGGTTTGTGCGTTCAGAACAGTAACACGTTACCAGGAAGCAGATAATTCATTTGGAAAAAAAAATTCTGGGTAGGGAAGATGCAGAAATGAGCTTCCTCTTAAAAAAAAAAAAAAAAAGCCCACCAAAAAAACTTGTCCAAAATTCTTCCTATTTACTTGCTATTGAAAAAAAGGCCTGAACTGTTTCACATAAGTTCATACTAAATTGAGCCTTGGAGAATAATTAAGACACATTAACTCTCTGGAATGACATGGTATGCAGAGAAAATGAAAGTACTCCATTCTCAAAGCATTTTGTTTTGAAATATTTATGTGTGTTTAGACTTTATATTATATGAAGAGTATACATTACATGGAAACCTTTCCTTTTCAGTGGGGGATTTTGATAAATGAATTGGCACTCAAATGTTTTCACAGAAATGTGGCTCTCGCTGCACCTTCTCTTGGGTTTGAGGAATGTGAGGTTGGTGATTTGAATGGATGGTGTATCCGTAGTGCTGAGCCTGTTTAAAAGAGATTTCTCTTTCTGCTTCACCACAAACCTTCCTTAGTTAATTCCGGCTTTGTTTAATTGTCATTACTACTAGCACAATTTTTTTTTCTTAGGATCTTTTGTGATTTGATTCTTTCATTTTCCTCCTTTACCTAAAATGCAGAGGATTAACAATAGCGCCTCTTAGTTTCCATTTTTCTTCTTCTTCTTCTTATCTCATCTCACAATGCCTTTTTCTGTTCTGAGTTCTCTATCTTCCCAAAAGAGATGTATTAAAATAGCTTTATTTTTATGTACTCATTATGTGAAAGTTTGCCATTTGTGCCTCGATACAAAATAGGACAAACAACAACTGTTGTTATAATGGTGCATATAACAGAGAGAATTAATAACCTTTTCCTTGCATAAATGTCATAATCGCACATCGCACACCTAATACAGCAAAAGGTGTAATATTAAGTCCATGATTTCATACGTTGACACTAAAACTTTGTGTGAGTAATACCACTTTTGGTAATTTAGCATAAATAAACTTTTCAAACATACTGTATGCCTTGTGAAGAAATACGTAAGCATTTCCTCTCTCCCCCCTCCCCCCCTTTTCTTTTTTGTCTCCACTTTCGCATTATTTCAGATGGTTTAGGGAACTTTTAATCCTGCTTCTCTTGAATGTAATTTTTTATGTAAATGTAACATAACAATTTCTTGTGATAGTGGACAAAAGTAGCAAAATGACATGCTATCTGCTTTGAAGGGTGTTATTTTCTGTATTTCTATTTAGCTAAGACAGCTTGACAGTTAAAAATCTAATCTTCTCTGACTTGTAGATTCAAGATGCTGCAAGTCAAGGCTTGAAATTTGTTGGAATTATACCTCAGTACCATTCCCAAAAGAACTGTCTTGTCAGCACCTCCCTGACACCCGCCAGTAACAACTCTGTGCAATCAAGAGATAATAAAAATGTTTCAGATTACTCTGAGGATCATGCATCACCGGATGGCGAGAAAATAGATGGCATTAATGGATGCAGTACTCCAGCACCAAGTGAGGAAAGTGCTGACCAATGTGCCACGTCCAGGGAGGGCTGGAGAGGTGAAGGACAGGCTACTGAAGGGCTGAATCTCAAGTCTGCGAATGGAAACGAAGAACAACTTCAACACACGAACCCAAGTGTAACTGAAGCAGCAGACAAGCCAAATGGACTTGCAGAGAATGAAACACCAGCACAATGCTTAAAACCACTTACTGGCAGTAAGTATTGTAGTGACCTTTCATACATAAAAGCCAAGTTAGAATTGCCTCAATTATGTTCCCAGCTCCTTTGGGGGATGGGGATTTGGGGAGGACCTTACCTATGTAATAGTGAAGAAAAGATGCACCAAATGAGCCACTTAACCTGATTTCAACATGGTTACACAGTTCACGACGACTGAGCGTAATTCAGATGGCAGATGGTGAGATGATATAAGCCCTGCTAATCTGCCTGACAAGGTTTTGCAGCAATAGAAGGAATAAGTCACAAAGCCTTATCACAGTTAGCCCCTTTGTAGCAGGTGAACAGATAGCTGAAATTAAACCACATTCAGGAATATATGTGATCTGGACTCTGAAGTCTCCTAGTATCCTATAGTCAGGCTGGGGTCAGTTCTACGGTCGTGATTGTAATTACTGGAAAGCAGCAGTTATTTTTGTTAATGCTCGTGTTTGCTAATTCATAATAAAGGTCCTCTTGGTAGTGGCACTCCTAATAATTTGCCTTCTATTTCCGTTTTTTTTTTTTTTTGATAAGATTATTCTTCATATACCAGTTTTCTTTCTTTCATTTCTTTAACATATTTCTCCTTAGGTATGCTTTTCACTTTTAAACGTCATTTTATGCCATCAAAACCCAAAAGCCTCAGCTGAGGTCTCAATACCCTCCTTAAGGTGTTGGTTGCTTGGAGGTTATTTCAGTAGCAGGAATTGTAGTTCAAAATAGCATGTAGACCAGGGTAATTTAGAAAATGAAGAGTCATCAGAAAAAAATACTCTTGCCCCATTTCCAGTTTAAACCTCAAGATATTTTTCTTTCCTATGTTTGCTTAAATCCTAGAAAATGGTGTGTACACTCATTTCTCTGGCCGCTTTGCTTACTTTCCTTACAAGCTACAAATGTACGTAAGGAAATTCCATCTATGTTCCTTTCTGCTGGTACTGTCCTTGACTTTAATTTATCCCTATTCTTTATGTCTTACATAGATTCAGTCAAACAATCCTACCCCTTGGGATTTTGTATATAGGACTGAGAATGACTTTGCATTGTACCCTCCTTGGGCTATTGTCTTGGTTTCCGTTGCATTTTGGTGTAATTAGTTTTTTGCCATCAGGTTGGGATCACACTCTAGTAACTTTTCACCCTATTTTCTTCAATTTTTGTTGGGCAAGGGAGCACCCAGAATCAGTCAAAGCATACCTATTACTCGAATAATTTGTGCTGGTTTACACTAGGTCTTACACACTATAAACCTCTCTTAGTTTTGTAGTTCTAAATTGGTTATCTCCGAGTCTAATCAGACCAGTTCTTTCTCTTTTTATATACGCTGTCTTTGAGAGAGTTAACATAGCACGTTTAATCATCTTTTTGATGCTATTCTTCTCCATACTGAACAGTGAAAATCTTTTGCTGCAAGTAACCGTGTTCTTAATATTTCTGCATAGTGTGCAGCTGATCACCTCCAATCTTCGCAACTTCTATCTGTCTGTAACACCCCAGGTTTTTATTACAGCTACTGAGTTGCCAGATAAGAGGCTTTATTTTAAAAATGCATTTAGTTTCCTTAATTATCTATCTTTCTCTGAGTGCTTTTTGGCTTTATTTATTTCTCATACTTTTTTTTTAATTGGTGGCTTATGCAAATACTTTCCAAGACTGAAGGCGTGAAGGCCGTTTTATGTGACAACTCACCTATAGTAGGTTTTTTCCCAAATCTATGGCCTGTACAACATCGCTGATTTCCTTATTACTCTTGTATGAATTTTTGTTATTACAGCACTCCCTCTTCCTCCCATGGAAAATGTGTTTCAGTCTTTGGCACCAGTTCTCCATCCTTCCTTGGGAACATGAAGACACAAAGCATCGGGTGGTTTGTTTTTTTTCCAGTCAGCTTACTTAGTCTGTAGGAAGTTACCACTCTTGAACCCCTTCATCCCTACATAGAACTCCAGAAAAAAAAAAAGTAATATTTCTTACTATTTTGTTCTTTATTTTAGGTTTTACACTATTCAAGTGTTACTTTTATGTTTCGTCATTTTTTTTCTGAATATTTTGTAGAGCTCATTCACTTTCCCTTGTATTAAAGGGCATTTCAAAGCAGTGTTGAAAATTATTTGCCTGTGAACAAGGCACAGATATTCCAATGATGTGTCCAAAAGTGCTGTGTTACCTAGAAGCAAACTCAAGGTGTCTTTGTGTCCATGACTGAGCAGTCAGACTCAGTGAAAACTGTTGTCTGGGTTAGGGCTGTTGTAGTGTACACTTGATAATGGTGACAAACCAACTCAACCACTGAAAGACTCCCACACATCTTAAATGAGTGTTGCCAACAGTCCAGTGTCAAATCCAAATTATCATCTCCCTATGGATTTTCACTTCCATGATTTGCTATTGTTAGTATAATGTCCTAATATGCACCAGAAAGGTCTCCGTTTCCACATGAGTATTTCAAGGGTCAGAATCAAGCTGATCATGGAATTTTTCTGTGTATGCTCTTCTGAGTTAGGAGTATCATAATTTTGTTCTTTCTAAACAGGTGATAAACAGCAAGAGGATTCGTGTTAACAGTTTATTCCTTCTTACTCTGTTTGAATCATGGTTCGTGTCTGAGATCATTAGGTCTCTTTTTCATGTTTGGTTATATCGTGAGCTTCCTGCTCTCTTCTTCAAGTGCTGCCAGCCTGTCTCTGAGCATCTCCCTTCTAATATCTTTTTCAGTTTACACACTACTTCTTGCTCGGTGACGGTTGCTAGAGAGCCATCTTAACATTTCTCTTGACATCTCTTTCTTTACTTTAATGCTTGAGGTTAGAATGTAATAACTTGGAAACAAGAGTTGCTCACTGAATGAATGAATTTCATATAATGTCTTTACCTTTTATATTAATTTATTTTGTGAGAATTTTTGGTGTTTGGAAGTCAATAGAAATTGTACCATTGATTTCCATGTCCATTAATAAGTAAAATAATAATGTAAAAAAAAAAATTATCCGTAATTTTATTGACAGTTGTACCTCTGTGGGAATTTGGAAGGTGCACCTGCACTTAAACTTGCTTCCAACTTAGGGCTGTGAAAGCTCAGCTTTGCTGGCAACAATGACTTTTTTGTAATGGTAAGCTTGCCTTATATGCTCCTACAATATACTAGAGGAGATACGGAGCCGAGTCTAGAAAATGTTCTCATTGTTAAGACCCTTCACAGTTCCACTTTCAGAATTCATTTGCTGTTGTGTTAATGTCTCACCTTGGCTCAGACCCAGAGTAAATCAACGAACGAGCTAGCATAGTCTCTACATTAATGATTCATTGCATTTTTTTTAGATGAGACTACTACTTGCTGGTTCGATGCCATTGTATTATCAAAACCGTTATTTAAAACTTTAGTTTGATGGCCATGATCTACAGAATGCAGTACCTCCTAAAGCTGCAGTAAGATTTTGTGTTCAAACTGTCCTCAGCGTCACAGTTTTTAACAATTATTTCAGTAGAAAAATAAAGGTACTCCATGCATTAATTTTTAGTGACTTTGTGACTGCTACAGTACTTAAAGCAGTTTGTGGAGCATATTTTCCTATCTTGGTTTACACTGGTAACTCCAGTACGGGGGTTGTGCATTAGTACTCAGGCATTACTGTATTTAAATGTTTTATTATCAACAGTGAAGCTGTTATTGGTAACAAATATCGTAACAGCAGTCAAAATACCGTACTGGGTTTTGGGACCCTACTGTGTTGGACACTGCAGAAATGTGTTAAGGAGATAACCACATCCCAAAGTGTTTTTTGCAGTTGCACAGTGTAATCGGGCGTGGGCAAACAGTGAGTTATGCATTGTTTTAGCTGAAATATTATGATACGGTTTTTGCATTACTCCATTTTTTACTTTTTGGTAGAAGCAGAGATCTTCGCTCTCTTCAACAAGCCAAAAACCCCACAAAGATGCAGCCAGTATTATACAGTGACTATCCCTATGAGGATCTCCAGGAATGGGCAGACTGTCAACAGCTTAGAAGCAAATTGGCTGGAGCACATGACAGATCACTTCAGGAAAGGAGGCTCATTGGTAAACGCCATCTTCAGCCTTGGAATGGTAAATGGTATGGAAATTACAGAAAGCATTATGCTGTGATTATTTTCCTTTCTCCTCTAATAGACATCATTATCTTTGAAGAGAAGACATTTGGGAGGTTCTTTAATGTAGGCTTGGGGCAGATTTGTTTTAGATCAGCCTATTTCAGTGAAATGGACTGAAAGCACAGGAAGTATTTTGTCATTTGAATAAGGAAAACAGATCAAGTATTGTATTTTATAAACATACTAGAGATGATCCTGTAATTGCAGAAATATACAGAGTTCATAACAGTACCAAGTAAAATGAATTAAACTAATAAGATTGTAAAGCGGATGACGTTAATGGAAGAGTGGCTTTCCTCTTAGCTGTCCAGCCACTCACTGCATCTGGGTCTGATTGCAGGTCCGTGTAAGGACCCTCCAGTTTCATCTGGCCAACACGTAGTCAGTTACTCCCAGCTCTTGCAGAGACCCTTTCTGCCTTGATACCATAGGGTTTTACAAAATTGTCTTCTGTGTTTGTTTTATCCTAGTTAGTGTGTTCGTATGAGTGATGGATAAATGTTGGTCTTAATTTAAGATTAAAAACCAGATTTTTGCATGTTGCGAAAATGTGTGACTGAGTCCATCTTAATACTGAAGCCAGTCTGTGCTACACTCGTGGCTACCATGGTTTTGAAGACAAGCCTGCTGTACAAACAAAGACTTCGGTGTGTAGTGCGGACCTGAGACACAGAACCAAAGGACCATGAGAGCAAACCAAGGGAAGTACTTGAACATAAAAATATTGAAGTTACAGCCAGGTAATTTTACTGGAAAATTGCATGACTAGTATACTTCATGGTGAAAGTGCTTACGGCTGAATCTTTCACCTAATTTTGGTTTGTTTTGCATTCTTCAAAAGGAACGTAGTAGCTGATAGATTGAGCACTGCTACTGAGATTAGTGGGTTGGTGCCTTAAAATTATAGGGGAACTGCTTCCAGAGCATTTTCTTCCCATTTTGCTGCTGGTCAGAATTCAAGGACCCGTGGTAAAACAAACAGTGATATGAGTCAGTTCTGGTAAAAGTCAATCAGGAAATTAACAGGCAATCCTAATTTTTCATTTTGCAAGCAAGTAGCGAAAAAGGAAGGTCTAAAGTTCAGCTGATGGAATGCTTTCGCACAGCTTCCTGGAAAGCCTTGTAATTGCAAGTTAACTTGCTTAAAAACAAATAGTCATTTACTTTATGTGTATAAATTGCAACTGATAGAAGCAAACCTAATTGGCTCTATCAGGCTCAGTGTTTTCTTTAATAAAAACTGCTTATCGGTGCACTCTAAAATGCTTTAAGCATGGCATTTTTCTGTTATTTAAACTTCTAAAGTTCATTTACATAACAGAGGCCTGGGGGAAGTTGATGTACTTGGACACCAGAGTGAGGAGTGCTGGATAACTGCCTGGGGACACAGATAAAGTACGCTTGAATAATGACAGTAAAGTTTCAATGCAAACAGGACAACAAATTATGTAAAAGTGGACAGATTCTGGATTAAATTAGATTAGAGATAGAACCATAGAATATTAGGTTGGAAGAGACCTCTAAGATCCTCAAGTCCTACAATCAGCTCAACACCACCATGCCTACTAAACCATGTCCCAAAGTGCTGCATCAGCACAGTTTTTGAACACCTCCCGGGATGGTGACTTCATGACTTCCCTGGGCAGCTTGTTCCAGTGCTTGACCACTCTTTTGGTAAAGAAATTTTTCCTGATGTCCAACTAAACCTCCCCTGGCACAACTTGAGGCCATTTCCTCTTGTCCTATCACTTTATAGTCGTGAGAAAGACCAACCTGCACCTCAGTACAACCTCCTTTCAGGTAGTTGTTGAGAGCAATAAGGTCTCTCCTCAGCCTCCTCTTCTCTAGGCTGAACAGCCTCGGTTCCCTCAGCTGCTTCTCATAAGACCTGTTCTCCAGGCCCTTCACCAGCTTCGTTGCCCTTGAAGATGAACATTTTTGTTAGCATTTTACAGTTATAGGAAGAAAAGGTTTAGAAGTCAAAAAGCCAAGGTTTGTAAAAGTGTATTAATTGTTACCTTAAAACACTGTGAACATGCCCATGCTATTAGAAGAACATTTGCTAAGAACATCTGTAAATTGCTATTGGTTGCAGTTAAATGTTTATGATTTAAATCCTAAAATTTTCCTATGCTGCAAAGGAACATAACAGCTTTTTAATTCCTATGCCAACCAGTATGAAACAACCCAGGGTAGGGAGGAGAGAAGAAAGGTTGAGGGCTTCTCAGCTTCTTACTTTTTTCTAGTGTTTTATGGCAGCCTGTCCCAGCTCTTCATAGCTCGTCTGTTCACTGATTAATCGTCTTCCAAATTAAGGTAATATTAGCATACTTTCTTTAATTGGTTATATCACATTTCTTTGTTGTGGGGGGTGGTTTTCTCTTTGGCTTAAAGTACAAATTCATTATTTTGCTTATTTGACTTAAAAGCAGGGTTATTATCATCTTCTTTTCCCTCTTGTCCTTGGGATTCCCAGTGAAGTGAAGATTTCCAGATTGTCAGTAGTCATAAATCTGTTTCTTCCTTCTGCCAACAGTTTAATAATCAGTCTTTAAAAGAGTTTTAAAGTTCACTGATAACAATTGTTTCTTTCTGCTTATTGTACCAGATAATTATAAACAGAATTATAACACAGTTGCGAATTACAATATGTAAACCACGCAGAGTTACACCATATATTAAATGTATTCAGATTTTGCTAGTAAGTTAGAAACAGCAGCTTGCTTGATCCTTGAATGTGCTTATGTTGACAAATTACAGTTACTTAAATTTGGAGTTCAGTTACTTGCTGGTGTTTTTCGTCCAACTCATGTCATTGCTAATTCTGCCTGTAGTCTGAGGCGTAAACTGATCCTGCTAGTGGTCTAAAGTGATCATAGGACTTCACCCTTGCCCTCTTCTAGTGAGAAGTGGAGACTGTACCAGCAAGCTGCAGATTAGTACCGTTGCAAATGGAAAGGATGTAACAGCTGGGGTCTCCTTGTTTCGTGTAACAGCAAGTCTTCAATCAGCAGTGTAAGAAGGAAGGGAGATATTTTGATGCCTTGACAGAGTAATCACAAGCCTGCTCATCTTTAGTTGTTTTGAACTGCAGGTCTTTAAATGTCCGGCATTCTTGTATTTTACCATTCTGTCTGTGAATTTCCTGTCTTTCAAACTTAGAAAAAGCCAGCCAACCAACCAGAAAACATTGACAGTGCTTAAAGACAAAGCAAATGAAACAAAACATGAGTTGCTTGGAAGAGGAAAGTAGTCAGGTTTTTAGAGGGTCAGATTGATTGTCTCGATTATATTCGCACTGCCTCTGACAGAGATGAACCAGTGATGCATTTGGCCAATTATAGTCACCTTATCCACTGAAGCGTCTGAGATTTTTATCATCCATATGGAATTATTT